CCCCCCGCCCTCCCCCTCTCCACGCACTGCGACGCCAGCAGGGCCAGGACGCCCGTCCCCACCGACAGGGCCAGCACGGCCACCCCGACGGGCGCCATGGGGGCATTCCCCGCCCACCGGACACAGGCTCCGTCACCCTCCCGGCACGGATCCAACGTGTGCTGCGCGTCGAAGAGGCCACTCAGCAAGAAACCAACCATGGCACCCAAGAAGAGGGGGAGCGGGTGCCCTCCCCCATCCTCCAAGCCCACGGCGTGGTTCCCCAAATGCACACCGACAAAGAACTGCCCGACAACATAGACGGAGAGGGAGTTCACCAGCCCTTGGACCAACCACACAAGGCTGTAGAGGAGCACTGTGGCCAAAACGGCCCGGAAAGAGGGAGGAGAGACGCCGTCTTCGTTGGAGGGAGGGTCGCGGCTCTGTCCGTGCGCGTGGGACGGACGACACTCGAACCGACCACACAAAGCCCCGCCCAGGCGGCCTAGGAATAAGGAAGCTGCGATCAGCCCCACGAGAAGGGGGACGTTCTCAGCAACACTTGTCAGGGTAGAGGCCAACGACGGGAGCGCAGGGATCAAGGAAGTGACGACAAGGGTATCCAGGAAGGTAAGACTAAAGTGCATGGCGTTGCCCCTCTTCCAGGCCTGAAGGCAGGGGGGAGTTCGTCTCCTTTCCGAGGTGACGGGTGTGGAAGCGGGAGGAGCAGATTCCGCAGGCGCAGGTACACTCTCAATGACGATATTGGATTCAGGTTTGGCGGGCTTCGATGGAAGGGAGGGAGAAAGAGAAGCTGGGAACGTGGTGACTGCACCTGATGTAGCCGGAGGCGCCCCGGGCGTCGGAGAATGATCGTGAAAGCCCTGGTGCTGCCTCCTTGGCTGATTATCTTCCGCTTTTGCACCTACTCCAGTGCTTCTAGTGTCCATGGGCGCGCATTTATTACGCGCGTTGTTCTTTCCTGTGTTATTACCAAAGACGATTGAATTGAGTGTTAATGGGCCCCTGACCCGGCGCGACGCAATGTTTTAAAGTGCCCACGCAACTTAGCAGCCGACAAAATATACGAAATACGAGGCCGGTGTCATAGTATAAGAAGACATGGAATTGCATGTTGCGCATTCGGAAGAGTTCAACCAATGTCAATGTCAGGAGTGAACAGGCATGGCGCTACGCTGTCACAGGCGAACACTAGGAAGGGGGGTTGCATCATAGTAGGAGCGTAAACAGGGGGCAGGGACAGACCACATTTGCAGCATCACAATCCACGCAAAATATGAAGTTGCAGTGAAATTTTCGTCACAAATGCAAACGACTTGCGTGTGTGCTTAATCATACAGGTCTGGGCCTAATTTTGCTTTCAGCCGGACATGCTATCCCGCGCTGCGCGTTCGATCCTCACAATGAAAATAAGATCACTCACCGTTCTTACGTTCAAGTACTATTTTTTTCTGTGTTAACCTCCTGTAGTATTCTTCAGGAAATAAGTCTCAAACAATGGCTTTTCCAAGAGAAGGCACGACTGTAGAGGACTGTCCGGTAATCAAGTGCTTGCAGAGGTGCGCAGGTAGGCCAGCATCACCAGAAAGCCCTGCCTTCTCATCCCGATTGCGGCTGATTTATCCCCAATCTTTCTGAATTTACCCCAGTGATCCGCGAAGTGCCCCATCGCTCCCTCTCCGAGCCCGAGGTAGATTACCTCAAAGCCCATGGGTGCTTGGCAGGGGACTGGCGCCAAGTCAGGGTGGTGGAGGGGAATACACTGCTTCCGGGAAATGACGACGCTTGCCCCCGGATCGTCCGCTGCTCCTTTTATGGAAGAGTGCTGTTGCATGGAAACTTTGCCGGGACCGTCGACGGCTCGGCGGGCGGTGAGGCTTGTGGCTTGTTCGATTCCACGGTTGTTGACTGCGTGGTGACTGGCCCCAACGTCTTGATCAAAGGCAACCAGCGCCTCGCCCACGTGGTGATCGAATCGGGTGCCATGGTGGTGGGTAACGGTGTGGTGGAAGGGCGGGGCAATGCCGGCGATCGGGAACGTCCCTATTCCTGCGCGCGGGTCATCCGGGTGGGGTCGGAGGTGCTGGGGCGCCCCGTGTGCGTGCATCCGTCGTCCAGGATGCCTGAGGTCTTAGCCCAAGCTTTCCACTCCGGCTCTGCCCACGACACACCATCTGATGCTTCCCTTGGTGCCCAGGCATCGGACCCATCGGCTTCCGCGCCAATGGCCGATGGGGCCTACGCGGCCCGTCTTCTCGCACTGGTGGACGCCGTGCACGGCAACGAGAGAGACCGTGCGACCGCCAGCAAGGATTCACCCGTCATATACACAATCATCGGCCACGATGCAATCGTCCAATGCTGTCCTCGCGTCGTTGCTTCCTTCATCGGCCCGTTTGCCCGGTTGGAAAATTCGGAAGTGGAGAGTAGCAGCCTTCTTTCCGGGCGGGAGGAGGCCACCTGGGTAGTGGAGGGTTCCGTAGTCTCTCGCTCCCTCTTACAGGAGGGGGTGGCTGTCCGTGGACATGCCCTGGTTCGGGACAGCCTTTTGATGGAGCACAGCAGCGTGGATACGGGGGGGAAATGCAGCCACGTGGTGCTGGGCCCGGACAGTGGGGTGGCGACGGGCGAATGCCACCACAGCCTTGTGGGCCCCTGTGTAGGCTTCCACCATCAATCCTTGCTCATCGCCGCCCTCTGGCCCAGAGGACGGGGGAACGTGGCCTACGGTGCCCAGATTGGCAGCAACCATACCGGTCGGGCCGCAGACCAGGAGTGTCTGGTGGGAGAAGGGATCTTTTTTGGCCTGGGAGTCTTGGTCAAACTGCCCGTCAACCTCTCCCATTCCCCCTATAGCTTGGTGGCAGCAGGAACCAGCTTGGATCAGCAGCGCCTGCATTTCCCTTTTTCTCTCATCGCCGCCTCGCGGGACGGTGCCTTCCTCCGACAATGTCTGGAAGATAGGATGGGCGACATGGAGACCAGGGCGGATGCCCCCCCCATCCTCCCGAACATTCTGCGACCCGCCTGGGTGTTGCGAGCGAGTCCTTACACGGTATTTAGAAATGAGTCGAAATACATGCACAGAAGTAAGTCGCGGAGGCACAAAGCGATGGTGACAGAGCCCATTTTCCGACCGGAAATCATCGACATGATGGTGGAGGCGCGGGCAAGATTGCAGCAAGCCCTGGGTTCTCGCGGTGGATGGGATGGAAAATCAACGGAAAAACCATTTTTTAGTAAAAAAGACCTAGATGGTTCGGGATCGAATGTGGTGACCTGGCGAGGGGCGAACGAAGGTGTCGACACGTACACAGTGTGGATCAAACGGTATGCCCTCCGTGGATTGTACGACCGGCTCAAAAACTTGGAAAAGGAAGAAATGGGAATCAATGAGGGGGGAGTAGAGGAGGCAAGGAAATTTAATGGAAACAGCTTTTGGGAGCATCAGAAGCCCATCCTTCTAAGTATGTACAGCGGAGAAGCCAGGATCACCTCCCCTCATGCTCCTAGTCCGCGCTCTGAGGCAGCCGAGAAAAAATCAAATGCGGACATTTGTGCGCCAGATGAAAATGTGAAAATTTCTGTGCTTCTCAGTGATCTTTTGGACGTTGAAGAACGCATCGTTAGGGGGTTGGTGAGGAGTAAGGAAAGGGATGAAATAAGAGGAGCGGAAATATTAGATGACTACTCAGCCACACGGCCCCCTCTTGAAGACGATAAGATCATCAAGGGGGCTAAAGCAGGCTTGGTAGAAATTCGGGAGTTTGTAGACCTTCATAAGGGAACGTATGAGGCCCTCTCCCTTTTAGATTTGTGAGCAGTTTTTTCGGTGTTCGATAAACGAAAGAGCATGGCGTGCCCCCACAGAAGGAAAATAAAGTACATAGTCCCTATGTTGAGATTAATTATATGGCATGAGCTGACTGTGAAAGTCGATGATATCCTTCTTTTATGGCTATCGGACCTCGGTGGGATTAAGAGGGGAAGGGTGAAAAGCACGCTTATAACGGTATCTCTCGGGGAATCGGAGTTTGAGTTTGAAATCCCGAAACTTCCGATTATGTATCATAAGTGTGGTTCTCAACTCACGCATGGACAAGGAGAAGAGAATGCCGCTGGAAGCTGGCGGATGTACTATATATTCACATTCTTATCCGCTTTGACCGTCGAACATATTAGGGTGGGCGACGAATGTGCCCTTAGATGCAGCCCCCTCAAAGCTCAGCGGATACTGGCCCACACACTAACCTCCCATGCAATTTAGGGCCCGAGCACGTTCCCGATTTGTACAGAACACTACTATCTGCTCTTGATACGGCCAATTCTACAGCCCGTGAGAAAGCAGAGGGAGCGCTGCGAAGGTTTGAGACAGTACCTTGCTTTTTGGATGCCTTGGCTGTTATCATACAAGCTCCTGAGGCTGACATTCGCCGCGAAGCTCGCCTTCTCGCCGTCTTATGCATAAACAATGTCGTTCGACGGCATTGGCGAAATAACAATACCCGCAATGGTAGCCAAAATCCGAGAGTAGGGGGGACAAGGCTTGAAACTCATGTACAAGAACGATTTGGTGGAAGCGGAGGACGAGAAACGAATAACAGCACTTCCCACAGCCCACATGCAGTGTACTTGAGGGAACAGCAGCTAGAGGCGCGAACAGTAAGTGATGAAGAAAAAAAACGCTTGCGCACATTTCTGATCTATCACATGTGCGAGCGCGACGACGTCGTGGCCAAGAATTTAGCGCACGTGCTCGCCAAAGTCGTCCGTGCTGATTGGCCCGGGCAATGGCCCGACTTCTTTCAGCAACTCCTTTCCCTCCATCCGTTCCACGGTAGCGGAGCCATTAGCAAGAACAATATTTTCCATCAGCAGGATGATTTGCAAACCCTCCGAGTCATTCAAACTCTGTACCGGGTGATCAAAGAATTGGCAGGGAAGAGCCTGTTAGCCGATAAGGCGGCTTTCCAAAGCATGGCTCGGTCACTCTTTCCCGTCGTCCACCGAGAACTTTGGCTGCCTCGCCTGCACCGATTGGTCGCGTTTCTGGAGCAAGGTGACTACGGAGAACATGTCCTTAGGCGGGCGCGGGTCGTGAAGACTTTGAGCAAAACATTGTGTTACCTCAGCGTGCAGCATGCTGGAGTCCTGGAGCGCGACAGCCTGGAGTCGTTCTTCTTCCACGCATACTCTGCCTTCGGGCCCTTGCTAACGGCCGAAAAGGGACTTTTGGCGCCCTTCGCCACGGCGTCCTCCCCGGCTGCGACATTGCCAGCGCCTCTTTCTGACCTGCTCATAGCGCTGGCCAAAATCACCAAAAATCTCAGTTACATGGTCTCTGAGACGCAACAACGTTCTCCCTCAAGCCTGAGTAGCGCCACTCTTTCCCTCTTCCTCCACTTGTTTTTTGAGCATGTCTGCAGTACCGCCTCCTGCCCCTCCGAACCCGTCCTAGCCGCTTTGGTCTGGGACCCGGGTCTTGGAAGTTGTTCCAGAAAGTTCTATCTGAACGCCTGTGCCTTTTTGGGCAACTGCCTGTCCTGTCCCGACTATCAGTCCGGTGAGCACCATGTCATGCTTTCCTTGCCCCCCACCAAGGATCTTATGGATCTTTTCCGGACTTTCCCTTTCCTGTTCTCTATCCAGCTGGTCGTTCCCAGGACGAAGGAAGCGTGCGGGTGGCCGCGGATTTCTTCACCGAGGAGCGTGTCTTGCAGCTAAGCAACCTCATGATGGAGACCTGGCTCACGTTGCGGGAGACGGAGCTGGGGACATGGAGGGAGAGTCCCGAGGACTTCCAGGTAGCCCTCGCCCAAGAACGTCCCGACCAAGACGTGCGTGCGGCCGGGGAACGGCTTTTTCTGGCCCTGTACGAGGCAAAAAGGGAGATCCTGGGCCCACGCCTGGCCAGCCTCCTCGCTGACTACCCCGCGCAACTCCACGCCGCCTCCCTCTCCCAATCCCCGCCCTCCCCCTCCTTGCCCCCAGAAATCCCATTCTGGGACGTGGTCTACCTCCTCCTTGCCCTCTCCTCTTACTCCCTGCGGGAGTTTGTGGACCTTGCTGCCTGGTATTCTCACTGCTTCATACCTTGCCTCCGGACGCTCCTTCTTCCTTCC